CCTCGTCCTCCTCCTCCTCCTCCTCCCTCCCTCCCTCCCTCCCTCCCTCCCCCTCCTCCTCCTCCCCCTCCTCCTCCTCCTCCTCCTCCTCCTCCTCCTCCTCCTCCTCCTCCTCCTCAGGCCTCTAGATGCAGGCAACTCCATGGGCGGTAGAGGCAGGGTTCGAAGTTCGGCGAAGACGTGGCGAGATCCGAACCCTACCCCGCCTGCCATCGACTCGGGAAAACCGATGGTTGGTGGGGGTAAGGATGGGATGTCGCCACCTTGGTAATGGAGGATGACGATTAATAAATGACCGGGGGTCGTGTTCACGCGGCGGCGCCCGGGATGGCGATTAGAAAAAAACGGCCGCGGGCTGGAAAGTTTTTTTGGTTATCGTTCTCCTCCAGTCATAAAATTATGCAGAAATAGCAGAAAACTATTGTTTTAATCGTCCTCTCCCATTTTTTATTAATCGTCATCCCGCATTAAGAGATGCCGATCCCCAGACCTCCAACGTACCGAAAGATCCAGATGCAGGGTTTGTTCTGCTGTTTGCGGCCTCTGGGGTCCCTCGACCGGACCCCAGGACGTGAAGCATAAGCTTGGGATGAGAACGGGCCGTGGGGAAAGGGTCGGGACGTCCGAGGTCCCGGCATCCAAACAAATCAAGGCATCGCATGCTTGCGTCTAGGTATCTACAGCGGTCCTATTCAAACCCATCCTGGGCCAAATGCTGGTGTATGCGCCCTCCTGGCTTGGCCAGGAAAGCATATTCACATATCTTAAGAAAAAAACATGTTGTTCATGGAGTCCAGTATTCCTTCAAGAAACATCCGGTCTGGACTGGACCGCCTATTTGTTCTCACATTGTTGGTCATTGCCAGCTTCCTTCCGTCCGCTCCCTCTGCATGTTTGGTTTCTTCTCCTCTACCCGTTGAGTGTCGCGCTTGTCTCCGATAATTCGCGGATTGTGTTTCCAGAGCACCCGCAATCGAACACCTTATTGCCACGGCCAGCACGGCGCGGAAAAAGAAGACAAGATGAGGTGATCCATGCTCATTCGTCCGTTTCGAACGAATAACATATGAAATAGCCAAGTAGTTAATTTGCCCAATACTTCCTATCTGATGAGTTCATGGTCCTTCCAGCCATCGTGAATTAAGCAATCAGTGTATACTGAAGTAATGTATTACCCTCGGGAGTTCCTTCAACAAGTAAAGTCTTAATGAGTTTGGTGAAGCCAGCAGCCACTAATTCATCAACAGATACGTGACTCGTGTTAAAGTGATCAGTTCATTCCCGGAGAGCTGCTTGCAGCAATAGGGCGTCAGAGAAGAAATTGGCCAGCGGTGGTGCGCGGGCGCGTCCGCCTCTCACGGCTCCTCCAAGCTAGCGTTTTCCAACCTCCGCATCGTTGTTTGCAGCAGAAGGGGGTCAGAGAAGAAGCCGGCAGGCGGTGGCATTTTCAGAAACTCCGAGGACTCTTTAGTGAACCTTCTGATCACATGTGGAAGTACTGTATTATTTTTATCTCTCGAACGTGCGAGGTGACCTGTGGATTCGTGTTTTCCTTGGTGCTGTCTTGCTTTCGCTTCTGCGGCGTCCCGCAAGCTTGCCCAGGTTGGGCTTGGACTACTCATTAAGAGAACTCTCGAAGTGGGACCCATGGTATAGTTGCAGATTCCTCTTAACTCGAAGCGGGGGGGCCACGGTCGGCCTGGCTGGGATCTCTGCGAGGTGTACAGCTGGAGCCCTCCGATCGCCCCCGTCGCCACGGCTGGATTCGCTTCGAATTCCTAGTCAGAACGCACCTCAGGAGAGGTCCGAGGAGCAGCGGCTCGACGGTATCTCTGCCGCGCTCCCCAGGAGAGCGCGCAGGAGCTGTGGGCGTACTACGAGGGCCTGCCGCTGACCGCGCGGCCCGACGTCTTCATCGGCTTCTGGTGCGCGCTGGAGCTGCTGCGCGCCAGCGGGACGTTCTCTCGCAAGGAGCACCCCTTGCTCGGCAGCCCGGGGCAACGTTTAGGGGGGGGGATATCCACACAGAGAGATCTCTCCACACGGCCTCGTTGTCTTCCAGGCCTCGCTGGTGCTAGTTGGTCATCGTGGGCGGTTGCCTGCGGAGCACAGAGGTGTGTATGGTGGCACAAGAAAAAAGAGCCAGAGGGGCAGCGTGAGGGAATGGGTGGGCTCCAGGGGGAGGCTTCGACCCCCGATACTCCAGGGGCAGGCTTCGACCCCCGATCGCCCCTTCATCCCCGACAGGGCCCTGGCAGCGCCCACCCCGCGCAGGAAGGCGCGGATCCCCCCTCTCGGGGGCCCACGTCCCCGACCCGCCGGCCGACGCAGCGCCGACTCCAGGTCAGCGACGCCCCACAAAAGGCGTTGTCTGCGCCGACGTTTGTCGTGCAAGCTCCCCGCGGAAGGTCGCGCGTGAGCGCCCTCGCTTCCAACGCTGCGTGCCGCGCGGGCGGCCCGCGTGAGCTGCGGTGTAGAGTTGCTGTGCCATCTCGCGCAAGACCCGTTTTTGATCGTCGCTCAGGCGACTGTTTCCCGCTTCCCCTTCTGAGCCGGTCCCCCCTTGATAGTTCCCCCCCAGGCAGGGTGATCGACGCATACACGGCGGCGCTCGGCGCGGCCTGCTTCGTGCCCCGGCGCTTCTTCTTCCACCTGCACCGACTGCTGTGGAGCTCCGAGTACCGCGCCGCCGTGCGCGAGGCTGGCGAGCCGGCCCCGCTGCTGCTTTCGCGCGAGGCTGCGCGTGAGGTGGACCCTTCGCTGGGTTGGACCTTCGGTGCGGGCCCGCTTTGAACTCCTCCGTCGCTGGATGGGATGCGATGCGACAGCAACGACCTGCGCACCTGGGTGTGGCCCACCCCCATCCCCACCCTCGGCATCGCTCGGCCGTGTGCCTTTGTCTTGGCGGCGAGGACCCTCGAGGAGTATCCTGGACCATGCGGCTAAAGCAGCACGCACGACACTCAGGCCCCTGGAGACCAGGACTCAGATAAACCAGGACACGGAAAACCAAGTAAACAACACCCTGTCTTTCAAAGTCACATTTTTCAGCACCCGTGCATGTTTTGTTTGCTGCACTGCAGGATTCGGGTTTGTGTCCAGGTTTAGGGGGGTCTTGCAGGCGGGTTTATTCTGGAATTGCTGCAGTGCAGAATGTTGTTCGTGTCGCCGTCTGGAAAATATGTGTTCGAGGGAGGTTGGGTGTCCGGGTCTATCGTATCCGGGCTTACGGGGACTTGAGAAATCGAGCAATTCACGGGGCATTGACTTCCGAGCGATGGCAAGTCGCAGGGCCGCGCACCGAAGGTCTCCTGCCTATGGTGGTCCATCCCTGCGTGCAGCTGGGAGGCGCTGGCCTACCTCGAGCGCCTTGTGGGCAGCGCCTCCCGGGGCGCCGCGCCCCCGGGCGGCCAGGGCGGCGCCAGCGCGCTGGCGCGGGCGGTGCCCGCGCTCGTGGCCGCCTCGCTGGGCGCCGGAGGCCAAGCCCCTGCAAACGGGGCGTTCGTCAAAGGAGTGGCAGCTCAGGGTGCGTTGTCAATCGTGCCTCCGAAAAAGGTCATCTGCCGCGCACGAGTGCGAGGTCATCCCCCCCGCCCTTTATGAAGGGGTGTCGACGATGTTGTCGTCCCGATGTGTCACGCACTGGTGCGAGGCAAGTGCCCTGTAACCCTGTACTCGCTCGTAGCGTTCCCTTAACTACCACCCCGTGTATTAGCACCCCTGGGGAAACGAACAATGACAACGATAAAAACTCGGAGGTCCGCGCGGATTTCTCGGATCGACGCTGGGCCTCCTGGCGGCGCCTTTGGCGCCGCCCCTGGCGCGCTCCGCGCGCCAGGGAGGAGGGGGTCAAGCGCCGATTGCCCTTGCTCCTCCTGCTCCTGCTCCTGCTCCTGCTCCTCCTCCTCCTCCCTTTCCTCCTCCTCCTCCTCCTCCTCCCTTTCCTCCTCCCTTTCCCTCCTCCTCCTCCTCCTCCTCCTCCTCCTCCTCCTCCTCCTCCTCCTCCTCCCTTTTCCTCCTCCTCCCTTTCCTCCTTCCCCCTCTCTCCTCCTCCCCCTCCCCATCCTCCTCCTCCTCTCCCTCCTCCTCCTCCTCTTCCTCCTCATCCCTCCTCCTCCTCCTCCTCCTCCTCCTCCTCCTCCTCCCCAGGCCTGTTTGCAAGGGGGCTTTTGGGGGGAGGGGCGGCCGTGCTGGCGTGGGGCGTGGAGGGCACGCGGCAGCGGCTGCGGCGAGCCCGCGGGGCGGTGGCCGAGCGGTGGGCGCGGGCGCGGCCCGGAGGCCCGAGGGCCCGGGCGGGACCTCCCGAGGCATGCCTCCCTCCCTCCTCCTCCTCCTCCTCCTCCTCCCTCCTCCTCCTCCTCCTCCTCCTCCTCCTCCTCCTCCTCATCCTCCTCCTCCTGCTCCTCCTCGGTTCAAGCCGTTTGGGATCTTGAGCGTGCTGAGAGACGCGACACGACTGGACAGGCCAGTGACACAGCGTTGGGGCTCAGCTTGAGAATGCCCAAGAGTAAACCCTTCACAGTCTGCAATGAGTGTGGCCAATGGGTGTACAACTGGCGGCTGGACAATCAAGGAGGGCAGTGCAAGTGCGGCGCGTGGCTGGAACGGTTCCAGGGCAAGCCGCCCTGGCGCAGCAACCACTACGGGAAGCAGCACGCTGGAAGCTCAGCGGCGGCGTGGTGGGGGCCAAAGCCAGGAGAAAGCGATGGCAAGGCGGCGGCGCTGGATTTCCTCGCAGGGGGGAACAAGCAGGTGGCCAAGGAGATCGAGGAGCTCCAGCGCAAGCATGCGCCGCCGCCGCCTCAGCCGAGGCCACCTGATGCATGGCAGGCGCTCACGAAGGCCAAGGGGCAGCATCAGAAGGCGCAGAAGTGGCTGCTGGAATGCGAGGACGAGCTCGAGCGCTTGTCCATCCTCCACGATGAGGCGCTCCTCCGCCGCGACCAGGCCTTGGAGGACGCCTTCGATGCGGATCAGGCCCGCGCGAAGGCCTCGGCGGCCTACTACAAGCAGGTGGGCAAGGGAGAGCTCGTCAAGGCTGAGGGGGAGGAGCCTGGGCAGGCTGAAGTGCAGACGATCCTGGACTTCTCAGTGGATGACCGGTTCCTGGACCCCAACCTGGACGACTACGAGGACGGCCCAAAAAAGAGGCGGTGTTGGCCTTCCGCACCAAGTTGGCGGACATACAGCAGGCGGGGGAGACACCCTTGCAGAAGATCGAGGAGGCAGAGGCGGCGCTCGCTCGGCAGCAGGCAGAGGTTCGCCAGAAGCACGCGGAGGATGCGAAGCAGCTGCGCGACCAGGCGGATCAGCATCAGCAGCTCGTGGTGCAGCAAGTCGAGCAGCTCCCCAGCCTGCGCAAGCAGCTCCGGAAGAAGCGCAGGACGGAGGACGGCCAGGCGGCCTCAGGCGAAGCCGCCAAGAAGGAGCCCGGTGAGCAGCCAGCGGCGGAGCCAGGAGCAGCGGCCGCGGAACCAGCGGCTGCCCCAGACGCCGAGGCAGCCCAAAGGAGGAAGCAGGTGCTGCTGGACTACCAGGCGAAGGTCAAGGCTGAGCGCGCCGTCGCTGTCGCCAAGGGGGGCGGCAAGGGCAAGCCAGGCACTGCGGGGGCTGCTGCGGCTCCTGCTGGCGCTCCTGCTGCTGGGACAAGTGCAGGCGCAGGCAAGAGTGGAGCAGCTGCCAGCCAGGATAGACCGTCGCACCTTTGACGATCTACGTCCTGACGCGAGGCCAGCGTCACGCCCGGCTGGCGATCGCCAGCTCTTCTTTGCGAATGTGGAGAAGTGGGGCCCACAGGCCCACTAAGTGCGTGAACGAGTATCAGGAGCGACACCCACGGGTAAGTGTGATGGGCATCTGCGAGAACCACCTCTTGCCCGACAAGCAGAAGAAGGTCACGGTCGACCTCGATCGGGACGGCTGGAAGACCACGGCCACGGCAGCGCGGCCGTCTGGGTTGAGTGAGACGGGGCGCTGTGGTGGAGAGATGATAATAGCGAGGCGGCATCTGGAGACGACCTCGTTTGATCATGTGCGAGTGGCATCACAGCAGCGAGGCAGAGACGATCCCTTTCCGCGGGTTCGTGGCGACCACCATCCACGCGAAGGCGGGCAATGTGGTCTACGTGACGGCGCACACGGCGCCCCAGTGGGGGAAGGGGTCCCCGAACCCCCAGGCGACCTTCCTGACGGCCGTGGACGACCCGTGGATCGCGGCGGCGGACTGGAACCTGGACCCAGAGCAGCAGCTGAAGAGCGAGTTCCCGCAGAAGGTCGGCGGTCGGCGGGGTGGTGAAGGCGCCGCAGGAGGCGAAGGTAACGTGCGCCAAAGGGGGGCAGGGGTCTCTGCTGGACTACTGCTTGGCGCGCAAGGACTTTGCGGACCAGGCGATGGTGGAGGCGGAGCTGGAGGCGCCTTGGAAGGTGCGCTGCGCGCTGCTCATCACACTCAAGGGCCCCTACCAAGAATGATGGTGGGTGAGGGCGCTCGCGGTGCCGGGGGCGCCGCCGCGGACGCAGAGGCCGAGGAAGAGCGCGGACCCCAACAGCAGGACGAGCAAGATGAAGCAGAAGAAGCTGCAGGAGAGGAAGTCGAGACTCCCCCCGGAGGAGCAGGAGGCCTTCGCGAAGCTGTACGAGGAGGACGAGGTCTGCCAGGGGCCCAAGGCGCCCTTCCAGGTGCCACTGGAGTGCTGGAGGCAGGCGGAAGAGCAGCTGGTGCAGACAGGATTTCCAGGTCACCAGCAAGCCCAACCAGCCCATCCAGTCCACCCGCGAAGCGACGGCCAGAACAGACGAGACGGCAACGTGCTCCGGCAGAGCGTTGCCGGAGCACGTTGGGCAACTTGCTCCGGCAGGGCGTTCCCGGAGCACGTTGGGCGAGGGCCCGCTGGGCACGTACACGGGCCCGGCGCAGCAACTGGACGACCACGTCGCCTACCAGGGCCGCGAGGGGCAGGAGAAGGACCTCTCGCATAGGTACGGCAACTGGGTGAGCAAGCTGGAGCTCGCACTGCTGGCCGTCCACGAGGTGCAGGAGTCGGAGAAGGCGCGCTACCTGGGGCGCGGGAGGGGTTTCGACCTGAAGTGGGTGAAAGCGAAGGTCACGCCAGGCAGGGCACACATGAAGTGCCACAAGTCTGACGCCGTGTGCTATGCGCTCACGCTGATGCAGAGGTACCAGACGCTCTCGCGTGGCAGGCGCGATGGGGCTAGCGAGGCCGCGTGAGCTGCAAGCTCAAGCGGATCGCCAGGGAGACGCTGGACCAGGGCATGGCGGACTTTTTTCGGCAGCGCGCGCTTCATGGTCTGGCAGAAGATGATGGTCAAGGTCGACACCCGCTCGGCGGCGCACTGACAGAAGTTGCTCGAGCTGACGGGCACGCTGGCGGCGGCAGGGCAGGCGCGCGCGATGGGGGACGCACGAAGAGCCTACACCGAGTGGGCGAAGGAGAAGTGGAGCGACAAGATGGGGGTGCTGCACAAGCACGTGAAAGACGAGCCGACCATCATCAACGAGATCTGCACAGGCACCTCCACCACGGAGGACCCTGCGGCGATCATGAATGACCGGGCGTCCAAATGGAGAGGGTTGTGGCAAGACCCGGAGGTGAGCTTGGAGGACATCCAGGGGCAGCTGCAAAGGACCCTGGAGGTTGCGAAGGAGGAGGACTACCCGCCAGTGGAGCAGGAGGAGTTCGACAGGGCGCTGAACTCCATAAACGGCAGGAAGGCGATTGGCGTGGACGTGCTGAGCCCGACGGAGGTGCAGAAGCTTCCGCACGAAGCGCGCGAGGAGCTGAGGCAGCTGATGAACGATGCCGAGGCCCAGGGCCTCTGGCCTCGCCAGTGCATGGCGGTGGTGGTGGCGTCGGTTCCGAAGCCCGCTGGGGGCGACAGGGTGCTGGGCATGATTGCCGCGATGCCCAAGATATGGAGCAAAGCTCGAGGCGGTATCGTGGACAACTGGACAGAGCAGCTCGGGGCATTCTGGGGCGGCGCCCTGCGAGGGTGCTCTGCGCTCAGGGCTGCGCTGCACCGTGCCCTGCTCGACGAGGTGGGCAGGGAGATGCAGCTGGCGTCGGCCACTCTCCTCCTCGACCTCCAGACCTTCTACGACACGATCAGCCTGGCGCTGCTCATGGAGCTGGCGGTGCAGGTGAAGTACCCTGCCATCGTCGTGGCCATGGAGGTGGAGCTCTTCTTGGGCCCTCGCATCCTGAAGGACCAGCGCCACGGCATCAGCGAGCTGGTCTGGCCGACGCGCTCGGCGGTGGCGGGGTCGGCGAGGGGGGTATCCCTGGCCAAGGTGTTCATCCACGGGGTGCTGGGAAAGGCCCACCAGGTGGCCCCGCAGGCGCCCCTCTGGACATCCGTGGACGACACGACGGCCCGGTGCGAGGGATCTCGTCAGATGGTGAAGCAGGAGATGAAACAGGTGGCGACCCAGTTCGTGGAGGGCTTCGTCGAGGAGCGAGGCCTGATCATCTCGAACGAACAAGGCCAAGCTGCTGGCGTCGGACACGCAGCTGGGCCGAGAGCTACAGGCGGAACTGGAGTCGCCTGCTCTGCCGCTGCAGTTGGCGCTGGACGCCACTGACCGGGGCGGCGACGCGGCGGCTGGGCGGAGGCGCTGCCGCAAGAAGCAGCGCAAGAGGCTGCTGGCGGCCGGCAGGCGCGCTAGCCGCATCACGAGAAGGAGGAGCAGCGCGGCTCTCGCCATGGAAGCGAGGGGCTGTGGAGCACGGGGGCTTCTGCACAGGCCACCTACGGCCACCAGCTCCAGGGCCTGGCGCCGTCGAGCGCCAGGAAGCTGAGGCAGCAGGCGGGCGCGGCAGTTGGAGGCAAAGCTGGCGGACGCTGCCTCGCCACGGTCCTGGCGGCGGGGCTTGAGGAGGACCCAGCCATCAAGCTGCGCATCCAGTTGGTAGACTCGTGGCTGGAGCTCTGGGAGACGGCGCCTGAGGTCCATGCGAGGATCCATAGAGTCTGGCCTGCCATCCGCGGCGCGCTCCTGAGCGCCGGCGCAGCCCGGCGCTGGCGGCGCGTGCGTGGCCCTGTCGGCGTGCTCGTGGCAACGCTCATGGGCGCGGGCTGGGGTCCGCGCACTGCTGGCACGTGGGGCAGGCCAGAGGTGGACGGCACGATGACGGAGTGGCACCTGGTGGAGTCGAGCTCGGAGGCCTTTGGGAGCTTCATCGATCGGCAGCCCATCCTGCACGACCTCCGCGAGGACATCATGCGCCAGCTGTGGAAGCAGGCGGCGGCCCACGAGGACGGCGGCAACTTGGGGAGCGGCGCGGACATGCTGAATGCGAGGCGCGAGCTCGACCGATATGCTCGAAGAGGCATGTGGGCGGAGTGGGGTCGCACGATGGTAGTGATAAGTGGCGGGCAGTGGAGCCGCGCCAGGAAGCGAGAGCGCGGCTATGCCGTCAGCGCCACCTGCCCGAGATGCGGGCTGGAGCCAGAGACGCTGACCCACAGGATCTGGAAGTGCACGGAGAACATCAGCGAGGGCACTGAGTTCGCCAAGTCGGAGAACCTGGTGGCGAGGGCGCTGGCCAGTGTAGAGAGTGAGCCCTCGGTCTGGTTGCGAGGCCTAGTGCCGAACCACCTCGCCACCCCCAGGTTCGATGAAGAGCGAATGGCTCAGGAAACCTTGTTGTTTGGGGTAGGTGAGCTGGGTGACTATCGGAGGGGCGGGGTTTTGACGCTGTTTGGGGACGAGCCGGGAGGGAAGCACTCGGACGATCAGCGTCGCCGTAGGTGTGGAGCTGCTGTCGCTGCCCTGGCATGGCGTGAAGATAGCTGGTGCCTGGGGGCGATGATAGCCGCGCCGCTCCCAGGCTGCCGACAGTCTGTGCCCCGATCGGAGACGCTAGCCTTGGCGATGGCCCTTGAGCAGACTACGGGATCGGTGCATTTCGCGACGGACCATCAGGGTCTTTTAAAAGCCTGGCCCCGGAGAAGGCGCGAGGCCACCAGGGGGCCCAACGAGGATCTCTGGGCCAGAATTCGCGCGGCGGCCGATGGCCGCGAGGTCTCTCTGGAATGGGCCCCCTCTCGCGCTGAAGAGGAGGACGCGGGCCGTCTGGTCACAGACAGGGACCTCTTCCTTGCTGTGGGCAATGCCACGGCCGACCATGGGGCGGGGGAGGCGGCGGAGCGGGCTTGGGAGGGATTCGTCATGCGTGCTGCTCCCCACGCTGACAGTTGGGATGCGGTTGCCGCTCTTGTCAGACGTCGAGCGCCCAGGGCCTTACAACTTGCCCTGGACTGCGACACGACCCGGGCCGAGCGCGAAGATATCGCGCCTCGTGGGGCCCGCGAGAGCGGCGTGAAGATAGCTCTCCGCGAAACGGGCCACCAGATGGCCCAGGACGGCGCTAAATGGAGATGCGAGGTGCGCAACCAGCGAGTGCATGCCTCGAGCCTGCTGGAGTTCTGCAGCACTGGGTGCGTACCTCCGCCAGCCCCGCCTGTCCCACCCCCCCCTCCTGAACAGGGCCCCCCAGGGCTGTGGGCGAGGGTGTTTTGAGGGGCTTGGGCGGGAGGGAGCTGCGCAGCACCCACAGACTTGGAGAGTGGCCCAAGTATTGCATTGTGTTCTGCCACGAATGCGGTAGGTATGCGACGGAAGATTTCAGACTTCTCGATGCCAGATGCCTTGGGAGATCACGGAAAGGAGCCGAGAATTTAGCTCGCATCAGGCGAGACCAGTACCCGCGCCGCGAGGGCCCTCCTAAATCGGTCCTCGAATCGTTGCATGCGCGCGTGTGTGCTGAAGCGGTAGCCAAAGCGACTGTGGCGGGGGACCCTGGGGCCCGAGGACCTGCCCCATCGGCTGTGGCTTCGTCGAGAGCTCAGGACGGTGCTCCCACGGTGTTTCCTGGCGACCCCTCCCAGCCTGTGGCAAGGCCCCCCGACCCAGAGGACGTGGCAGCAGAGTGATTTTTCGGCGGCGCGGACGAGGACGATCCGTGCCCGCCAGATTTGGCGTGAGATGCGCCTGAGAATTCCTTGTGTGCCAGCGTGCTCCAGCAAAGCGTTTCCGGAGCACGCTGGATGAATCTGAAGACGGCTCTCTCGGCACCAGGGTCTTGGTGTTGGTTTCGACATTCCCCTTGGTGCTGCGATGCCGAGCTGCGAGCTGTGCCTCGTGGACGGCCAGACTGCGCAATCCTTACAGCGTAATCCTCCTGCTCCTCCTCGTCGCCCTCCTCCTCCTCCTCCTCCTCCTCCTCCTCCTCCTCCTCTCCCTCCTCCCTCCTCCCTCCTCCCTCCTCCCTCCACCCTCCTCCCTCCTCCCTCCTCCCCCCTCCTCCCTCCTCCTTCCTCCCCCCATCCCTCCCTCCCCTTCGGGGGCGGCAGAGAGGGGGGTGATGACCAGGGTTGAGTCGGGCCTGTCTCCCTACAGGGGGGTTTTCGATGAAAAATACAAGATACCCCGAGGGCCCGGGCGGGACCTGCCAAGGCACCCCTCCCTCCCTTTGGGGGCGGCAAAGAGGGGGGTGATGACTGCAGTGCCGTTTTTAATACACGCTCCGCGTGCGGATCATGTATGAAAAATGCAGGGATGTAGTACTAAAAACGACGATGAGTTCATGCATAAATTCATTCAGGGCCCAGGAGGGACCTCCCAAGGCATGCCTCCCTCCTCCCTCCACCCTCCTCCCTCCTCCCTCCTCCCCCCTCCTCCCTCCTCCTTCCTCCCCCCATCCCTCCCTCCCCTTCGGGGGCGGCAGAGAGGGGGGTGATGACCAGGGTTGAGTCGGGCCTGTCTCCCTACAGAGGGGTTTTCGATGACAAATAAAAGATACCCCGAGGGCCCGGGCGGGACCTGCCAAGGCACCCCTCCCTCCCTTTGGGGGCGGCAAAGAGGGGGGTGATGACTGCAGTGCCGTTTTTAATACACGCTCCGCGTGCGGATCATGTATGAAAAATGCAGGGATGTAGTACTAAAAACGACGATGAGTTCATGCATAAATTCATTCAGGGCCCAGGAGGGACCTCCCAAGGCATGCCTCCCTCCTCCCTCCACCCTCCTCCCTCCTCCCTCCTCCCCCCTCCTCCCTCCTCCTTCCTCCCCCCATCCCTCCCTCCCCTTCGGGGGCGGCAAAGAGCGGGGTGATGACCAGGGTTAAGTCGGGCGTGTCCCCCTACAGGGGGATATTCGACGACAAATTAAAAAATACCCCCAAAACGCCCCCAAAGGGTCAAAAAATACCCCAAAAATAGTCTCTGACTTTGTTTGGTTTATTTTTTGATTTTTTTAGGGGTATTTTTTATATTTTTTTCGTCGAAAATCCCGCTGTAGGGGGACAGGCCCGACTTAAGACTAGGGGGGGGGGATATCATGGCGGGGGCCATGAGATCTCTCCAGATATCACGGTGCCTCTTCTTGCTTCATTGCGTCCCACACATGCCGCCGGTCATGAGTTGCACCCCGCCCTCTTGGACGCCCCCCTCTTGGACGCCCCCGACTCCCCGGCCATAGGATCAATTCGGGCGTGCCCCTCCACAGGAGGAATATTTCAAAATTGGAAAAAATATTCTGGGGCGAATTATCCAGTACTCGTGATTACTGTTGAGCAAGATTTGAATATGTTGCAACTTTCGCCCGAAATCCGTCTGTAGGAGGACATGCCCTCCCTTCCCAGAGGATCATAAAACGACGAGCGACAGAAATGTTTGGATCACTCGAAGGAAAAAAAACAACGGCGTAGGCAGAAACCTTGGCGGTCCGCGCGGATTTCTTGGATTTGCGCTTGGACCCCCTGGCGGCACCTCCGGCGCCGCCCCTGGTGAGCTCCGCGTGCCAGGGAGGGGGGTCAGAGCAGATCCAAGAAATCCGCGCGGACCATCGAACGTTTATGATTATGCCGTTGATTATTTCTCTAGAAGGATGCCGAGTCGCTCATCACGCGTCTCAAGTGCTGTTAGCGTGGAACCCCCCCCCAGCGGTTGTGCGCGGTCTCTCAAAAGGGTGGGCGAGAACCAAGGTTCGAACTTCCATGAGCAATGCTTGGGCATCGCTTGCACACGGGATGATGGTGGCGCGCGAATCGTGGACGGTATGGAAGATGGATCCCGCAAAGGACCCCAAACAGTTGAAGAGCCCGACTTAAATTTTGAATCCGACCGTAAAGGACACCAAAATGAGCCGACGACAAAAAAGGGACCGATGACAACAAAAAAGTGCCGACGACAAAAAAACAGTTACCCTGGCGAAGGACCCAACCATATGCAGTTGTGAGTAGCGCATTTGTTGGTACCGTCTTCGGTGGAGCACCTTATGGGCACGAAACGTGTGGTGGGGGTGCCGGCACGGGCGCAGTGGTGTCATGCGAGCGCAACCATTGGAGCCTTCTGTGGAGCGCCCTATGGGGCCACGAAACGTGTGAGGGGTGTGCCGAAATAGGCGCGGTGGTGTCATGCGAGCGCAACCACTGAAGCCTACGGTGGAGCTCCCTATGGGACCACGACGCGTGTGAGGGGTGTGCCGAAATGGGTGCCGTGGTGCCATGCGAGCGCAGCCAGTGGGGCCTGAGGTGGAGCTCCCTATGGGGCCACGAAGCGTGTGAGGGGTGTGCCGAAATGGGCGCGATGGTGTCATGCGAGCGCAGCCACTGGGGCCTCCAGTGGAGCTCCCCATAAAGCCACAAGTCGTGTTAGGGGCGTGCCACCATCGGTGCAATGGTGTCATGCGAGCGCAGCCATTGGGGCCTGCTGTGGAGCTGCCTATGGGGCCACGAAGCGTGTGAGGGGTGTGACGTAATTGGCGCGGTGGTGCCATTCGATCGCAGCCACTGGGGCTTTCGATGGAGGCCCCCACGGGTCCACGAAACGTGTGAAAAGGTGTGCCGAAAGGGGCGCGGTGGTGCCATGCGAGCGCAGCCAGTGGGGCCTGAGGTGGAGCTCCCTATGGGGCCACGAAACGTGTGAGGTGTGTGCCGAAATTGGCGCGGTGGCGTCATGCGAGCGCAGCCACTTGGGTTTGCTGTGGAACTCCCCGTGGGGCCACGAAACGGGTGAGGGGTGTGCCGAAATGAGTGTGGCGGACGCACGCGAGCGCAGCCACTGGGGCCTGCGGTGGAGCTCCTTATGTGGCCACGAAACGTGTGAGGGGTGTGCCGAGATGGGTGCAGGGGACGCATGCGGGCGGTGGCACTGGGGCCTTCGTTGGAGTTTCCTATGGGGCCACGAAACGTTGTACTGGGTGGGTGAAACGCAGGAAGGAAGGGAGGAGGGAGGAGGGCGAGGAGCTCCCTCTGGGGCCACGCGAGCGCAGCCACTGGGGCCACGCGAGCGCAGCCACTGGGGCCTGCGGTGGAGCCCCCTCTGGGGACACGAAACGTGTGAGGGGTGTGCCGAATTGAGTGTGGGTGACGCACGCGGGCGGTGGCACTGGGGCCTTCGGTGGAGCTCCTGATGGGGCCACGAAACGTGTGAGGAGTGTGCCGAAATAGGCGCGGGGGACGCATGCGGGCGGTGGCACTGCAGCCTTCGGTGAAGCTTCCTATGGGGCCACGAAGCGTGTGAGGGGTGTGCCGACATGAGTGTGGGGGACGCATGCGGGCGGCGGTACTGGGGCCTTCGGTGGAGCTCCCTATGGGGCCACGACGCATGTGAGGGGTGTGCCGACGTGGGTGTGGGGGACGCATGCAGGCCGCGGCACTGGGGCCTTTGGTGGAGCTCCCTATGGGGCCTCAAAGCGCTGTACTGGGTGGGCGAAACTCAGGGAGGAAGGAGGAGGGGGAGGAGGGAGGAGAGGGGAGGAGGAACGAGAACGCGGGGACCGTCTCTTCACAACGAGGACCCAACACCACAGGATGGCTGGGAATCGAACGACACAAGGACGAGCTCCCGATAGGGCCACGACACGTGCGAGGGGTGTGCCAAACATTGTTCGGTGGGCGCATGCGGATGCAGCCACTGGGGCTGTCGGTGGGATTCCTTCTGGGGCCACGAAACGCGTGAGAGGTGTGCCGAAATAGGTGCGGTGGGCGCATGCGAACAAAGCCATTGGCGCCGTCGGTGGAGCCCGCTATGGTGCAGCGACACGTGTTATGAGTGTGCCGACTTGGGTGCGGTGGACGCATGCGAACTCAGCCACTGGCGACTTCGGTGGAGCTCCCTGTGGGGCCTCGAAACGTGTGAGGGGTGTGCCGAATTCGGTGTGTGTGTGTGTGTGTGTGTGTGACTCACGCGGGCGGTGGCATCGGGGCCTTCGGTGGAGCTCCCTATGGAGCCACGAAGCGTGTGAGGGGTGTACCGACTTGGGTGTGGCTAGCGTATGCGGGCGGTGCCTATGGGGCCTTCGGTGGAGCTCCTTCAGGGGCTACGAAGCGTGTGATGGGGTGTGCCGAAGCGGGTGTGGCATGCGAGCGGTGGCACTGGGGCCTTCGGTGGAGCTCCCTATGGGGCCACGAAGCGTTGTACTGGGTGGGTGAAACTCAGGGAGGAAGGGGGGGGGAGGAGGGAGGAGGGGGAGGAGCACCGAGAACGCGGGGACCGTCTCTTCACAACGAGGACCCAACACCACAGGATGGCTAGGAAGAACGGAGGCCGGCGACGCATTCAAACGATAAGACAAGCGAGTTCCAGCGACGAAAAGGGTGCGGGCGACGACCAAGTCCGCCGGCGGCGCAGGGCCGCGGCATGACCGAAGTGGCGTCAACAACATGTTTCGGGAAGGCGTGCAACAAACACTGCGGAAGCGCCGTTCGCAACGGTAAATGCTCAGGGCATGCGGACCACGGGGCAAAAAATGGTCGTGCAGCGTCGTCGGGCGATGTGTCGTCGCGCGCTTCTGGTGCCCAGGAAAGCTCGCGCCCGCGCTGGGGTTCCCCGTGAGCGCTGATGCCTTCGCGCGCGCGCGTGGCGCGCGGCGGGATTGGCGCACGCAGGAGTTGCGCGCGCGCGCTGCTGCCACCGCGCGCGCCTCCGCCGCGGACGAGGCGCGCGCGCAACAAAGGCTGATGACTCACCAAGAGCAGCGTGTAGCCCGTCCGCGTTGCGCACGGCGCGAGGCCAGCGTCCATTCGAGAGCCATGATCCGGGGCGGGCGGTTTCGTCAACCGATTTGTCGGTGGCTCCTGTCATCTAGGAAATTCGGCGGTGAAAGGTATTGAGACGTCCTGGCCTGCAGAACCCGAGATGGGGTCGGAGCAGGATGGGGTCGGAGGACCGCGCCGCATCGCCGATGTATCGCCGATATATCGGCGATGCGGCTCGATGTGGACACCAATTTTCACCGCGCCGACGACGTCGCCTATGCATCGCCGACGTACGATGGCGATGCGGTGCAATCCTCTGGCCACATCTGCCGGGAGCCCGCCTCCTAAGGAGGCCTCTACACGTGCAGCTGCGAGCGTCGCGATGCAAGGGGGCCGAAGGAAGGGGCCCGCGAAACCTGTGCGGGGTGTGTGCCAGAACGGATTTTCGGCGGCGCCACGCTCACCCTCCCAGGGGGGCCTCGAATAGGGGTCGCGAAGCGTGCGAGGTGCACGCGGGCGTGGACGCGGTGCTGCCGTGCGAACCCTGCCGCTCCACGCCCGCGTGCACGCGGGCGTGCACGCGGGCGTGGACGAGGATAACTTTGGTCATCGCCAGGAAACGTGCCACATAAGATTCCAGGCACCTGCAGAGAACCTGGGTACAATTGAATAACAGACCAAGGACATCTCCTGAACCTCCAATCCTTGGTATGGAGTCCCCCAGAACCGCCACTGCCAGATATTCCCCCTCGTTCCTTGATGCCTCCTCTCCGAGCTTGTAAAAGACATCCCCAGGCCAAAACTTTGGTTTCAACAGGTAGGAGGACGCCGACAGCCCATCCAAGTTGGACAAGTCCACGGGTCCAGAAACATTCAGATCCGGGCACACTATGAATGGAGGAGGAGGAGGAGCAAGGAAGGAATGAAGGAGACGCGGGGCGCTTCCGATTCAAAACGGGGACCCAACACCACAGGATGGTCGGGAAAAAGCGCGACGGGAGGTTTCTGCCATTCTCGGCCTCTGGGGTCCTCGCCGGGCGCCGGGCCCATCAAAACACGATCCAGGGCGACACAAACGGTGCTCGGGAAGTGGCCGAGAGTTGTCTGTCTCATCCGCAGACCCAGCCATATGCAGTTGTGAGTACCGCGCTGTGCTTTCGGTAGAGCTCCCTTGGGGCAATGAAGCGTGTAAGGGGTGTGCCGAGTTGGCCGCGGTGGTACCATGCGGACGCTGCAATTGGGGCCTTTGGTGGAGCCCCCTGTGGGGCCACGAAGCGTGTGAGGGGTGTGCCGGAGCGGGTGCGGCGGAGCCATGCGAGCCTTCCCAGTGGGGCTTTCGGTGGAGCTCCCTTTGGGGCCACACAGCGTGTGAGAGATGTGCCAACATGGGTGGGTGCGGCGCTACGCGAACCCTCCGACAAGAGCCTACAGTGGAGCGCCCTATGGGGCCACGAATTGTGTGAGCGTTGTGCGGAAATGAGGCGGCGACGCCAAGCAGACCCTGGCACGTGTTCCTAAGCTGGAGCTCCCAATGGGGCTTCCTTCGAAGCGTGTGAGAGGTGCACCGATCTGACGCACCGACGTCATGCGAACTCCGCCATTTGGGCCTTGATTGTAGCTCCCTATTGGGTCACGGAACGTGTGAGAGCTTTGCCGAAATGAGGCATTGACGCCATGCGAACCCTGGCATGGGAGCCTTAGTTGGAGCTCCCTGTGGGGTCGCGAAACATCTGAGGGGTGTGCCGAAGTGATGCACCGACGCCATGCGAATCCTGCCTCCTGGACCTTAGCTGGAACCCTCCCTTGATACACGAAACGTGTGAGGGGTGTGCTGACATGAGGCACCGACGCCATGCGGACCCATTAGTGCTTTAGCTGGGGCTCCCTATGGGGCCACGAAGCGCGAGAAGGGTGTTGCAAGATCAGGCGGCGACACCATGCGGACCCTGGCATGTGACGGGTGTACCGATCTGACGCACCGACGCTATGCGAACACTGGCACTGGGCCTTAATTGGAGCTCCCCATGGGGCCACGAAACGTGTGAGGGGTGCCGACATGAGGCACCGATGCCATGCGAACCCTAGCGGTTGAGCCTTAGTTGGATGTCCCGATGGGGCCACGAAATGTGTGAGGGTGTGCCGACGGCAGAGGGCAGAGGATGGAGGAGGCGGAGGAGGAGGTGGGAGGTGCGGTGCATTGTATTTTCAGAACGAGGGCCCCACACCACAGGATGGTTGGATGGTTGAGAGAAGCCCACTGCCTGGGGAAGCCGGACCCATGCCCACTGCCCGGGGAAGCCGATCCCTGTGGGCCTCGTGAGGCGGTGGACTCGGACCTGCTCGGGGCCCCTTGGGCCCGGGTGTATCCACGGCCCCTGTGGACCATGATTTGACGATGTTTGGACATGTTGGGGGGCACTTTCGGGGCACTTTTTGCGATTCCTCCAAAATCCCCCTGTAGGAGGATGCGCCCGACCTACAGTCAACGCGCATAGTAAGGACAAACGGCTTTTTCAAGGGTACCCTTGGGTCCTTGCCTCCCTCAGCCTCTGCGGCCCATCCCTAGCAGTTTTCGCAAGCCAGAACACTTCAGCTTCGGCCTCCAAGGGTCTTGCGTCCTTACCACGCGTCCCTACTATACGTTTTCATTGTAAGACCTGGATCCACCTGCATGCATCCCCAGAGATCCGACGTCGTGATTTTTTCAATACGCGATCCCCCGAAGTCTCGACCCATTCCCCAGGACCGGCTTCTCATCCTGAGTCGTTTTTTGAGGGTCCCGGGGCCCGGCGAGGGCCCCTGGAGGCCGAGAGTAGAGAAAAGCCTTCGTCTTGATTTTTTCAATGCGTTGGAGGTCTGGGTCCGCGTCCGCCGCCCCTCCGGGGGTCCCGGGGCGGCCCCGGGCGGCGGCCGCGCCGCACGCGCCCCAGGCGCCCGGGACCTGCCGCTGGCGCCGCTGCAGGGCTCCCCGGGCCGGCCCCCCGCGTGACGCCGCCGTGCGGCCGGGCATCGGTGGCCGTCAGCCGGGCCCGTCCTTCTACAGGAGGAATATTCTCGGGGGCGGAAGAGAGGGGGGCGATGGCTAGGGGGGGTGGATCTCATGGCAGGGGCCATGATATGTCCCCAGATTCTATCGTTTCATTACGTCCCTGGCCCCCTCGCTGGGCCGCGCACATGCCGCCGGTCATGATTTGCACCCCCCCTCTTGGATACCCCACTCTTGGCCGCTCCCGACATTCAAAAATAGTCAAAACATAGTTTGGGCATATGTTGACCATTTGGGAATATTTTTGGGGTATGTTTTCAATTTTTCGTCGAAAATCCCCCAGTAGGGGGACACGCCCGACTTAGCGGTTGCCCCTGCGCGCTCCTGGACCCCTCGGAAGGCAGGGCGCGTCGCCGAGCCCCGGCCGCGCTCGAGCGAAGCGCGCGCGGGCTCGGGCCGCGCTGGGGAGAGGGCCGCCAGCAGGGGGGTGCACGCCTCCTCCTGGAGCGTCGAGGGTCGAGGAGGAGGAGGAGGAGGAGCAGGGAGGAGGAGGAGGAGGAGGAGGAGGAGGAGGAGGAGGAGGAGGAGGAGGAGGAGGAGGAGGATAGGAGGAGGAGGAGGAGGGAGGAGGAGGAGGAGGAGGAGGATCAGGGAGGTCCTGCAGCGCGCCTGGGCGTCCTCGCGAATCGTGGGGTTGCTCTTCGGCCGGGGGGCAGGGGGGGGCGTTCCCTCGAGGATGCGGCGAAACCTCTCCGACGTCTTGATTCCCAGAGATCCGACGTCGTGATTTTTTCAATACGCGGTCCCCCGAAGTCTCGACCCATTCCCGCAGGACCGGCTTCTCATCTTGAGTCGTTTTTTGACGGTCCCGGGGCCCGGCGAGGGCCCCTGAGGCCGAAAATCGAGAAACACCTCCGTCTTGATTTTTGTCAATACGTTAGAGGTCTTGCTTCCTGTCACGCACTGGCTCCCCAGAGGTCTCTGGGCCCCTGCCCTGCGAGACCGGCCTCTCAATCCCGAGTCGCTCGAGGGCGGTCCCCTGGGGCCCGGCGTGGGCCCCCGGCAGCCGAGAGCGGCCAGAAGCCTCCCGTCGCCTCTTGTGAACGTTGTTTTCTTGTTCACTGTTTTGCCGATCGGCGCGGCCCTCGCACCCCCTCTTCCCCCCTCCTCCTCCAACGGCGTAGATCTAGGCTGTTTTGGGCGCCCGTCTCAAAGCAGGTGGAGTCTTCCCCATGGGGTAGATCTTGGCCGGTTTTCCCGGCATGGGCGGGGGCCCAGGGCTCTCTTTTAGTTGGTTTACCCCTGGTTTCGACGGCTCTAGGGCCGGCAGAATTATTTGCGATAGACAGCGAGATCGTCTAGGGCCTGTGAAATGATGTTTGAGGATGTCTCGAGCGAAACGCTTGTTGTTCAGAATGTGGTGAGGATGTCTCGAGTGAAACGCGTGTTTTGTGTTATAGATTGTCCTCTCCTGGGGACCTGAATTGAGAGGATCTCTCAAGTGATATGCTTGTTTTCACGTGCCCAGGTCTTGAGGATGTCTCGAGCGAGACGCTTGGTTTCACGCCTCCAGGTTGCCCAGACAAATGTCTAGCATGCGGATTGTTGAGGATGTCTCGAACCGGAGGCTTGTTTTAAGGTGGCCAGGACGCCCAGGCGGATGTCTAGCATGAGGATGTGTCGAGGACTTCTCGATCGAGACGCTTGTTTGCACGTGTCCAGGTTGCCCAGGCGGATGTCTAGCATGAGGATGTGCTGAGAACGTCTTGAGCGAAACGCGTGTTTTCACGTGTCCAGGTCGCCCAGGCACAGCACAGCCCTCGGCACGGTACATCAATATCGATACCCTTAGCATTGCAGCCTGGCATGTTGCTTGGCACGTTTCGCGGAGCGTCCCGTGGCGAGTCCCCCTGGCACGTCGCGCGGAGCACGTCCATTGGCACGTTCCGTAGCGCGTCCCCTTGGCACGTCCCGCGGTGCATGCCCATGGCACGTCCCCTGGCTTGCAGCCTGGCATGTTGCTTGGCACGTTCCGCGGCGCGTCCTCCTGGCATGTCCCGATGTCGATTAGTTCAGGGGCAGCTACCATCTGCTCAGGCAGCTCGAGCTTAAGATCCAGATCAGTTCGGTCAGGACTCGGATCCAAAGAGGACTCGATCCACAACGCTATACAGAGCACAATCGCGGCATGCAACAACGCAGTTCAGCACGGCCCAGCACAGCACAGCCGTCGGCCTGGTACATCATGATCGATACACTCAGCATTGCATCATGGCACGTTCTCTGGCGCGTTCCGTGGCGAGTCCACCTGGCACGTCGCGCGGTGCGTCCCCTGGCACGGCGCGCGGTGCACGTCCATTGGCACGTTCCGTAGCGCGTCCCCTTGGCACGTCCCGCGGTGCATGCCCATGGCACGTCCCCTGGCTTGCAGCCTGGCATGTTGCTTGGCACGTTCCGCGGCGCGTCCTCCTGGCATGTCCCGATGTCGATTAGTTCAGGGGCAGCTACCATCTGCTCAGGCAGCTCGAGCTTAAGATCCAGATCAGTTCGGTCAGGACTCGGATCCAAAGAGGACTCGATCCACAACGCTATACAGAGCACAATCGCGGCATGCAACAACGCAGTTCAGCACGGCCCAGCACAGCACAGCCGTCGGCCTGGTACATCATGATCGATACACTCAGCATTGCATCATGGCACGTTGGCGCGTTCCGTGGCGAGTCCACCTGGCACGTCGCGCGGTGCGTCCCCTGGCACGTCGCGCGGTGCACGTCCATTGGCACGTTCCGTAGCGCGTCCCCTCGGCACGTCCCGCGGTGCATGCCCATGGCACGTCCCCTGGCTTGCAGCCTGGCATGTTGCTTGGCACGTTCCGCGGCGCGTCCTCCTGGCATGTCCCGATGTCGATTAGTTCAGGGGCAGCTACCATCTGCTCAGGCAGCTCGAGCTTAAGATCCAGATCAGTTCGGTCAGGACTCGGATCCAAAGAGGACTCGATCCACAACGCTATACAGAGCACAATCGCGGCATGCAACAACGCAGTTCAGCACGGCCCAGCGCAGCACAGCCCTCGGCACAGTACATCAAGATCGATATTTCAGCCCTGCATGTGCCCGTCGTCCAATCAGGTGTTTTTGAAACGTTGCCATGCCTTACCTTTCTAGATTCCTTTCCGGCTTCGTGGGTCGATCATGTCGGCGCCCGTTTCAGAGCAGGTGGAGTTTTCCCCCCCCCGCGGGACGCATTGCGGCAAGCAGCCGCACGGAGCAGAGCTCCAGAGCCAGACCCCCTCCCCGTCCCCCCCCCTCCCGCCCCATGCCGACGCGCCGCACGAGAAACGATATCCCCTGCTCACGACGAGTCTGTGGGAAAAAAACACACTGTGGGAAAACACACACACACACACAGTCTTTGGGAAAAACACACAGTGGGAAAAAACACAGTCTCTGTGTGTTTCTTTCCCACAGACTGTGTGTGTATGTTTTTTTCCCACAGGCTGTGTGTGTGTGTGTGTTTTCCCACAGTGTGTGTTTTTTCCCACAGGTGTTTTTTCCCACGGGGGGGCGGGGCTCGGGTCGGGTTGGTGGCCGGCCCTCTGCCGGTGCCGCGCCGCACGCACAGCGCGACCGCGCCCGCCGGGCAGGGGCGACAGATACATAGCGCGCGCAGGCCTCCCCGCCGGCCGCCGGCCGCCCCCGCTCGCCCCCGCGGAGGGCGGGGCCGGCTCCCTGCCACCGGGAGAAGCCTTGGCATCGCTCGGACGTGTGCGTTTTTTTTTTTTTCGTCGGCGAGGACCATCGAGGAGCATTCTTGATCACTTGGCGAAAACACCACGCACGAAACCGAAAAAAACGCAGGGCATGGACGTCCGAGCGGTGGCCAGAAGCTGGGAGACGCCACCGGGGGCCGGCCGAGGACGCGAGCGTGTTCGGATTCAGCTCCATGGGAAGGCCAGTTCTGGTGTGTGTGCCCTGGTCCGAGATCCGGCGTCATCCGGCTCCGACTGGCCTCATCCGGCGTGATCCCGCTGAAGCCGGCTTCCTCCCGCTGGACCCCGCTCAATCCGGCTCAATCCCGCTCAATGCGAAATCCCCACTCCGGCGCAACAGCCCCGCAATGGGGCTTCATCCTCCTTCATCTTTCCGACGACAGCCTCCCAGCAGTTGCTTCCTAACTTCCACCCTGTCCAGCCCTGGCCAGTTTCCTTTTCTTTTGTTGTCCAGCCCTGGCGTCCGCGAGCCCCTGCTGTTGCGGGCTTCCGCTGCACCCAGCGCAGGTTTTCCCAGCCCTGGCCACTTCCACAGTCACTGGTCTTCGAACTTCCACTCTTGTCCAGCTCCCCTGTAGATTACTGGGGGGTGGCAGCGACGCCGTGAGAGGGGAGCCTCGAGAAAAAGGCAGAGAGCGGTGTCGCGCGTGGAGCGGATTTGGCGCCAGTAGCCGAAGAAGGAAGAACGGCATGAACACGAACGACTGGCGTTCCGCGAGGATTTCTTGGAATCCGCGCTGGGCCCCCCCGGCGGCGCCTCCGGCGCGGCCCCTGACGCGCTCCGCGCGCCGGGGAGGGCCCAGCGCAGAGTCAAGAACTCCGCTCAACGTTTATGTTTGTGGCGTTTTTCTTGTTCTACTCATGGTGCCGAGGTGGCTCGCGGAGCGCAGCGGCGAAGCTGTAGAGTAATGCAGCCGTGCGGGCGGGCCAGTTGGCTCGAAGCCTCGTGACGGAGGGGGGCTGTGAGCGTCGCGTCGGAGTCCCAGGGTCCGACTGCACGTAAGCTAGCTTTAAGTCGGGCCTGTCCACCTACAGGGGGATTTTGGGCGAAAGAGTAAAAATACGCCAAACATACTCCAAGATGGTCCAAACATAATCAAAAAAATAGTCCCCAGCCTATTTTTTTACTATTTTTGAATCTTCCCCCTGTAGAGGGACAGGCCCGACAGAAAGCTAGCTTCGCCTGGGTGACCTGTGGCTTGGGAGCCGACCGGGGCGGCCGAGGCGGCCCAGCATTTGCCCCCCGCCAGCAGCAGGGATGGAGAAGGGGCCCCCTCCGTCGGCACGGCTGGGCGCGGCTTGAGACAGCAGTCAGCTTGAACACGGGGAGGCCTCCGGGGACCGATGTTGAGCGGATTCGCCCTCGTCCCCCCCCTCTTGATCGATTTTCTCGGGGCCCATCCGGTGCAGACCCCCCTTGGCCGTTTCCAGGGTTGGCGCGGGCCCACCAGGGCTGCCCGATCGTTGCATGGGATGCCGTAGCAGCGGCGTGGGCGCTTGGTTTTGGCCCGCCCGCGCCCTCCCCCAAAGCTGCGCGCCAAAGGTCAGTCTTGCCTAGGGTTAAGTCGACGTGTCACTCTTGCGTGTAGCCGCAGGGGCCGATCCGATCTGGTCGGTCCAATTGGGTCTCGAGTTCGCCGGGTCGATCCGATTCGGTCTTGGTTTTCCAGCGGCCCAATGCGGCCCGATGCTCGCATGGCGTTGTTTTACGTCCTGGCGCAGCCGATCCGATTCGATTTCTTCGACCCCATGCCAATTCATTCCAGTCCGACGCACATTCCGATTCGACCCGATCTCCTGATTCGATGCTGGCTGAGCTTGCCGACGCTCTGGAGTTTCAGAACCGGCTTGTGTAAATGAGGGTTGGCCGAGGGGGTGGTTGATCTGACGATGTCTCGTTGTTGATCAGCCCTCCCCATTGCCGCCTCAGAAGTGTCATGATGATCTGAGGGTTGGGGGTGATTGTGGACAGGAGCTCATTAAGCACCCACACCACCAGGCTTCCGAAGTGGCAGCCTGAGCTGAGATGCACCAGGTGATTACGTAATTCCATTTGGCGTGGTCGACCTGGGTGAGTGGTGGATACACATGTGGCATGTCTTTCAAGCGCTCGGCCCTCTGTGTGACTGGGTACGCCCGTTCTTGGTATGTGTATTCAGTTCGCGGGCTCAGCATGTTCCGCATGATATTCCAACCTTGACTGCACACGATTGCGAGTCCTGCCTTGCATGTCATGCTACTCTGACTTTCACAAGCCTTGTTAGAAGTAGAATGACGAATTTCCCTGGATGGGGGGCAAGTGATGCTGATCGTGGATTCTAGAGGGCATGTTGAGGCTTGCTGCGTGGATGCGATGGCATGGCGCTGCTGCGTGGCCTGAAGGTCGCACCTACGATATATCCATACACGGACATCAACGTTGCATACACGTGTGACGGACAAGGAACAGCTAGACATTACGTTCATTGGAGCGCTTGGTGTGTGGCATCGGCTCGCGTGGCAAGACTTCTGCCGCATTAGAGGATTGCCAGGTGCATACTGCAAATCGCTCAGATGGCCGTCACATGTGTCACCTTTCGTCTCCACTTCTTGAGGGGCCCTCATGGGGCTTACTTGGGCCGTCTTTGGGCTATTTGGGGGGCTAATTTGGGACAGTCTTGGGGCCCCGTGGGGCCCTCTTCTGTCGTGTTGGGGCCCTCTTGGATCGTCTGGAGGGTTGTCGGGCCGCCTTGGGGCCCATTTAGGCCGTCCTTGGTCTCGTCTGAGGCTCTCTCAGGGCAAGGTTGGAGCTCTCCTGGGGCCATCGTTTGTCGTTTAGGAGTCCTCTTATGTTTGGGATGTCTATCGCGACTGTGCTGGGACATGTAGGGTGGCTGCAATTTCGCTGTTTTTTTGCTGATGGTGTTGTTGAGGGAGTGTTTGTTTTACAACGTGTGGCCGCCGACGTAGTTGCGTTTGTTGTAGGAGTTGGGGAGGTGGTCGAGGAACATGTTGGAATTGTAGGGGCTGGGGGCGTTGCCGAGGCAGTGGATGTTCAGTGCGTAAGGGGTGACGATGTGGGTGAAGCAGGGGCTGGTCCATGTGTTGGTGCTGGGGAAGTGGGTGAGTGCGTAATGGTTAGATTTGCAGAGATTGGCGAAGCGATTGAAGAAGGTGCTGCTGGATTGTCGGATGTGGTGGAGGTGGTTGAGGAGGTGTTTGCTACTATCTTGAAGTAATTGAGTAAATGGGTGTCGAAAAATTGTAGAGGTTCAGGAAGTGGTTGAGGCAGTGGCTGTTGGGTTTGTAGGGGTTGAGGCAATAAGTGCACAATCCGCAGAGGTCGAGGAAGTGGTTGGAGACGTTACTCTTCCCTTGTTCAAGGTGGATGAGGTGATTCAGGAAGTGGTCGTTCCAGAGTAGTCGGTCAAAGAAGTGGTTGTGGTTCATCAGATCGAATTGTCGGGGGTAGGGGTTGAGGATGTCGCGTCTGACTTGTAGGATTGTGGGGTGGAGTTATGTCGCTCGGACGAATTGAAGATGTAGTTGTTCAACGTAACGTGCCCGAGCCCGAGCCCGAGCGAGAGCCCGAGCTGCAGCGCGAGCAAGGGCACGCACCCAAGCCGCAGCCTGGGCCCGACGAGCCCGAACCCGACGACTTCGAGCCCAAGCCCGAGTCCAAACACGCGCACGAGCAAGAGGTGCTCGCGCGGGGCTGTATGATAATAACTGAGAGGTTGCCAAGGTAGTTTCAGAAAGTGGGTGGTGAAAGCCTTCACTTCTATGTTGCCCCCTGGCAGGATCTGATCTATGATGGCGCATGACACGTTTCGTTTTGCAAGCGTGTGCGCGCGCACGCGGCGCCATGCGGAAACCAATACAGATGGATCAATTGAACGTCGAACGCGAAGTGGCGAACGCCGCATGGTTCATCCGTGCGTCGTGCTTCGCCACAGGCCGCCACTAGTATCACCGCACATTGCCGTATCGCGCGAGCACAGGCGACGTCATGCGACCAGCAGCAGGAAACGGCCATACGTTTTAAGAGCCAATTGCTTCACTTGCAGTCTGGGCTACAACCTGACATGACAAATTGGCGCACGTGAAATGCTTCTTATTGTGCGCGAGGGAGTGATGTGTCCGCGCGCGCAAAAAGAAATTTGCCTTGTGTTGCAATTTGACATATTCGGTTGAAGCCGAGAATATCAGTCCAATGATGGGCTTACACCACGTAGCTTTAAACATTAGTTTGTCATCCCCGAAATGGTGTTCGCATGGCGCCGCGCGTGCGCGCGCACGAGCGTCCACCCTGAACCGCCATTCCCATAGACCTTGAGCAAGCCCAGAGTACAAGTCAAACGACATAGGAGGGAATGGAGGAAGGGGCCGGGGTGCTGGGGTTAGACGGACAAATGGTGGATGAATGAGGAAATGCCCGATGGGGAAGAGCAGCAGGGCGAAGGGAGGGAAAGGGCGGTGAGCGAACGCGGCGAAAACAGGGTTGCAAGCTGGTCCATAATGAAAGCCCTGTTAGTCTTCGAAATTAGTTTGCTTGCTCTCCACTGACTCTCGCGGGGCGCGGCCTGCGCGCGTGCTCGCGCGTGCGCGCGTGCGCGCGCGCGCAAATCGAGATCTGCACGGTGCCACCACCTGCCGTGCCCTAGGGAGGCTCAGGATGCGAGTGAAGCGAACGTGGCGGCCTGTTTTGCCACAGGGATGGCTCTTCAGACGCGTCGTCGATTTGTCCAGCACTTGGAGCGGAGCTCCTCAAGAAGAAAGTGTCGCGCAACCGTGGGGAGTTTCCAGACAGTAAGGTCTTCCAGTATCGTTTTTCGTGGCGGCCTCCCCTTCGCGCGAGATGTCTCTTCAGATGCGTCTGTCGCGGGGCGCTGGGATCTGGGGGAAACATTCGCGTGGACGCCAGACCCTTTCCGACCGCAGTGTTTTCACAACTTCTTTTCACTTCTCGAAGTTCAGACCACGAGGCAAACATGTGTGTTCTTTTTTGAGGCGGCCTCTCATGCGAATGGGATGTCTCTGCTAATGCGTCACCGACATGTCTGGCGCATGGTGCTGGGCTCCGCAAACTGAGTTTCGCGCTGTACACTCGCCGCGGCATTAGAATCATGTCTAGCACGAAGGGGTTCGGAAAGCAATCGAATTGGCCGCGCTATTCGCGAACTTTCAGTGACCAAGTTGCTGCTAAGCCTGTTGCTAAGCCCGGTGCGCTCCGACGCGGATCCGCATTCTTCGGATTTTCTGCGGAAGCGACGGGACTCATCACTCCAGCTGCGAGTTCTCAGCCGGCGTTGTTCCGTGAATGCGCTGCGTGAGGACGCTGTGCAATTACATTACGTAAACAGTAAACACACGACGCAACTACACTGCGCGAGTGCGGGCTCGACGCTCGCTGGCGGCTGGTCTGCCCCGCATTTCTCGGACTGGTTGAAGACAGTTCCGGCAAACACGCCTCGCGCAGGCGGCCAGAGAATCAAAAACCGGACGAACCGCTTCGGCCTCGAATTCTTCGCCGTTGCGCTACGCAACTATTCGACGTAAGCACCCCAGGCAAAGTGCGTTGCTCGCGTACGTGCGCGACACTTGCCGCGGCGTTACTGGGGTGTTCCAGGGACGCTCTTGCGG